GGGGAAAACCCTGGAGAGGCGAGCGGGCCTGAGGCAGCTGCTGCTGGGGATTCCCAGTGACATGAATCCACTGGAAGTCAGATATGAGGAGAGTTAAACCCATCAGTATATTGATGGAGGGACAGATTGGGCACCGATGGAGAAGAATGTAGAGCTGAAACAATCGGGTTCATCGATTATTGAAATAATCTTCAATTAATTTAGGAACAAATAAATCGTTAACTGGAGTATAGAGACTCTATAACGTGCCTTTAGCTGACGGAGGAACCCACTTAGGGCAGGAATTATATCAAAATATGAAAAATATACATAAAATGTTTGCATTTAAGATAAAAATGTGTTTATCTGTCGTTATGCGCTTTCCTGAACTCCTCAAGTGAAAAAGTTTGAGTTTCATCTGGTTTGATTTCAATAAAGAATATCTCCTATATGGAACCTTTGGCTTTCTAATTTTTAACTGAAAAAATAATCAACAGTTTAATGGATTTGAAAATAATTGCCCTAGTAGAATGTGTGATGCTGTTTTTCCCCATGATGGCGTCTCCTCCTGATGCGTTTAAAGCTCAGGAGGCCTCTGCAGGTGTTTGGACTTCATCACCTGGTCAGGGTGGGACACCATCAGCTTCCATTGATGGACCCGTTCCCCGTATCCAGAATTTTTGCTGGTTCTAGATGATAGTTGAGATGACCCACCAAAAATGTTGCCTCTTTACGCAGTAGGTTATTTTTTTTTAGATTGACCCGTACATCACACCCTGCTTAACTCTCGGTGGTCTTTTAATGGTTCTGGGTCGGGTCAGGACTTTAGCAGGCGCTCGGTTCTGGTGTGAAGGTGGTTCTGTATAGAAAGTCTGACATGTCGTTTCTGATTCCAGGTAAAGTCCACATCTCCTGGATCCCCTTCTCTGCATCCAGCTCCTCCTCTTCGCTCATCATCACCCCTACCTCCAGCAGCGTTCCTGTTCATGCTTCAGCCTCTTTATCGCATACAGATGCCTCTGTCACATCCTCCAACTTCTCCAGCCTTTCAGCATCCTGTTGTAGCACCATTCTCCAAACTGGGAGCAGTACTGATGGTTCTGCACTTCGTCAAACGCCTCCTCCACCCTACTCCTCTTCTACACCTTCCTCCACCTTCAGCATTTCCAACTCCTCTTCTGAGATACCCACCGTGGACTTTTTAAAAGAGCTTGAGTCAGTTCTCCAGTCGAGAACTTCAAGTCCTCCTTCCACTAAATCCAGTCTACCTCCTACCCCCATTTCCAAGTCTTCCTCTTTATCCAAACCTATCTACACTGCGGCCTCCACCACTACATTATCCCACCTGGACACCAGCAGTGGTTCCTTGGTTATTTCCTCTGCATCTACTGCAGTTCCTCCAACTACCTCCAGCCTTGCTGCTCCATCAGCCGCAGTCATTGGATCCAGAAACCCCAAATCCATTCAAAGAAGGAATCCTTTTCTCTCTAGTCTCCTTCTTGAGCAAATACCATCTTCATCTGCTCAAACAGCTCCTCCTCCTTCGTTCAAGGGGCCATCACAAGCTCTCCATCTCACTACACCTGTCATGTTACCTTCATTGCCTTCCTCTACTCTGTTTTTCTCTCCATGTTCAGAAGTTCTCCCCCAAACCATTAACACCAAGGGTCCTGGTAGGGTGGAGGAAAAACAGAGTCCAAAAACACCTGAAGAAATGAAACCAGTCAGGAAACCAGACGGGCCACCCATCTGTTTGTCTGAAGAACCCACAAAGAGCATTTCCACCAAAGGTTCCAACTCCACAGTCCGAATTAACGTTCTAACCAAGTCTCAACTAGAGTCCACTTCAGGGAAACTGTTTGTCAAGTTTCATTGGAAGAATAAGAAGGCTGGCACAGACTCTACAAACATCTCTACTAAGAAAAGAAAATCCCTGCCTTCACCAGAGCAACCTACCTGCAAGAACCTCCCTGAAGCTAC